CATAGGCAATTTGACATTAAAATATTGAAATATTACTTTTTTACTCTAATTGTTTCAGTAATTTAAAAATAATAGTTGCAGATAGACACAATACCGTTTATTTATTTATTTATTTATTTATTTTATAAATAAATAAATAGCCTATTTATTTATTTATTGTCTATCTGGAGAGCACCTTTCCCACACATTCTCAGTTTGAATGTGGTGCTGAGGATTGAACCCAGGTCCTCACGCATGCTAGGCAAGCACTTTACTACTAAGCTACAACCCCAGTCCCTGTGGTAGTCACTTTTAAATTTATATCCCTTTTAAGTTCATGCTTCCATTCTTTGGAGCAATCAGCATTGCTTTCTTGCAGGCTTATTGAGAAGAGCCATACTATTCACTTGACACAGAGACTTCTTAAAAAAGAAGTTTGGGAACAAGGGTGGTTCCTAACCTTATCCTGGAGAGATATTATTCTAATATCCTTGCAAATACAAATGTTTTGGAATCAACTATGAGATTAAAAGAAAAATACAGCAATGATCTTTCTTGGAAAGAATACGTGTAAGGTCATTTTAAAGTCAGACAGTAGAAAGCCATTACAAAACATGACAAAATAAAATCTTCCTTTGGCTGATGGTTAATTCTTATATTTTGAATTTTAAGGCCTATAAGCTGGGTCATAATATCTAAAAAAAATAGCCTGATAAAATTACCATTATCTAATCTTCAATGAATATTTGTTTAAATTCCAAGCTTTCATTAACTATTCATTCAATAAGTATTTGTTAACATCTGCTCTAATCTGACTTTGTGCTGGTCTCCCCTGTGTACTTTGATCTCTTAGTATGTTTAAGAATAAATGACTATATTTCTTTCTCTTTTTTTAAGAGAGAGAAAGGGAGAAAGAGAGAGAGAGATTTTTTTAATATTTATTTTTTTTTTTAGTTTTCGGTGGACACAACATCGTTATTTTATTTATTTTTTAATGTGGTGCTGAGGATTGAACCCAGCAACCCATGCATGCCAGGTGAGTGTGCTGTAGCTTGAGCCACCTCCCCAGCCCAAACGACTAGATTTCTATGAGGTAGTTTAAGCAATACCAACTCTTTCCCTTCAGCAACCATTTTATTTCTATTTGGAAATCCCGTTATCTCTTCACAAGAAGCTCCAATCACATGAAACCCTGTTTCCCCTGACAGAGATGATGGGATTCAGGGCAGTGGGGGTAGAGGACCTGCCTGATATGGCCAATCAGTTCCTGTCCTGCACAACTGGAATAAAAAGATGGTGACCTCAGGGATTGGCATTAGACCTTGAATTGGAAGACTATAGATGTGCTGGTAGGTGAGGCCATCATCTTGGAGCAAGAAATGGTGGGCCCACCCAGAAGCAATTGAGTGAGTGTACAAACCAGTTCACACAGAGAAAAGCAGAAATGGAGCAGAATAAGTTCCTATGTGGCTTGTCTGAGAGAATAGGCATTTATGACTTTCCAGAGGCTTCCTTATGATAACTGCTCTAGAACCTAGTTGGGCTCCATGAGCTCTCTGTTATGTCTTTATAAGATATCCTCTATCACTTGAGCCTATTGGACAGACAGTGTTCATGTTTCTTTAAGTAAATCCAGTTGGACTAGAAAGTAAATCAATCAAGATCAAAGTGAGTGAGCCAAATTTAAATAGAGAATGCTCCACTTATAATGTAATCATAGAGGGTGGATTGTGTAAATGCAATATGAACCATTTTAGATTATTTTGCTAAATGAGAATGAAGGAGTAAGAATGTGTTAGGCATGAAGTAGCATAGCATCTTCTTATTTTATTCATTTAAAGGAACATGTAGGCAGCTGCCCTGAGAAAGTACCAGGGCAAGTGACTTACAGGAGACTTTTCCTAGTCTATTGGGCCTATGTTGTAGTAATATTGCTTTCAAGAGATTTATGGAAGTTTTCTGCCAATTCAGCCTCCAATGGCACTAAGCCAATGTGATGTGAATAAAGACGCAGTAACAGACAACACACGAGATGAAACATTGGTTACTAAAGACTTCAATGGCTTTATTCGGGATTATATATAACACCATTTTCAGCAATATGGTTTTGCTAGGTCCACTATCTAACAGACGACTATTTTTCAGATGTTATAGATACCCATCCTTTCAAAAAGTCATCTATAGTTGTCAAAAGGAAATAGTCCCTAAAGAAGCTCCATGTTTTTAATCACCTCACAATGAACATATAGCCATGTGCTATTTGATGAAGGGGATATGTTCTGAGAACCATGTCATGATATAATTGTATTGTTGTCCAAATGCTATAGAGCATATTTAAATAAATTAGGATGGCTACGCCATCACTAGGCAATATCATCTAATGGGGCCATCATATATGTTGGTTGAAATGTTATTATGCGACGTGTGATGGTATGACGGTCCCTAAACACAAAATAAGTAGACCTGACTAAAAAAAACTACTTTTGTTTAATATGAAAATATGCAATGGGAAATTAAAATGCCATCCAGTTAACAACCAATAACCAACTGCAAATAACCAAATGTAAAGTGGAAGAACAATTAGAGACACATGGGATGAAAGGTAGGAAGATTAGAGTTGTCTATATTCAAAGTATAAATCTAAGATCATAATTTTTTTTAACCAATAGAAATGACGTTTGAAACTGTAACTGAGCATGGGGTGGATATTAGAAAGACTCTCTTGGGAACTATGAGAATACTGAAGGGCCTAAATGCAAATGCAACAGGTAGGATTGCATCAGAAAAGCACTCATTTCACTCAAATTATTTCTGTCACAATTGCAAATATGTTGTATTGCACTTGTGTATGTGTTGGATGACATGCCCTGGTACTTGGTTATAAGATACGGCTGCTCTGGCCACTGGACCAGGTGGGTGGGTTGAACATTCTGAGAGTAAGAAAGAGGACAAAAGGGAAAAGACTGGTCATCCTTCCCACAAATTTCTATTGTGTGCCTGTCATGTGTCCGCTGTCCAAGAGCTTGGGTCACAGGGGTGAACAAAATTGAAAATGCCTCAGCTCTGATAAAGTTTACATTCTGTTGGGTGAGTCGGATCATAAAAATAACAACAAAATACACATTGTGTCACACGGTGAAGAGCACTCTAGGAAAGATGAGAAAGAAAGATGAAGGTGAAGGAATGAAAAAGAAAAAATGAGGGTGATGGAATGAGAAAGAAAAATGAGGGCTAAGGAATTTTGTATAGGATGGTCAGAAAAGTCTCCATGGAGAGAGGGAGACCCTTGAATGAGTGAGCTGTGCTATAGGTGGGTGAAGAAAACTGTGAGTAGAGAGAATGAACAGGTTGTGAAAAGACAGATGGTGCTTGAGATGTTTGGAGCTGGAGAGGTGGACAGGGAAGTGAAACAGTGGACGAGTTCAGGGAATTAATGGGGTGAGGTCGGTCATGGAGGGCTTTTAGAGAACTTGAAGTAGACGGTGGTAACTGATGTTTGTTTTGCCCTGAATTTCATGAGAAGTCGCCATCAAGTTTTGAAGGGACAGGGTTTGACTTCCGTTATCAAAGCTTCCTTCTGGCTACCAGTTAGGAAATTATTGTAATAATCCAGGTGAGACACACTGAGGTCTGAGACAGATCATAATAATACTGCTAAATGATAGGATTCTGATCTTGCTGACAGATCAGACATGAGAATAAGAGAAAAAGGAGAATAACTAAAAAAAAATTCATAAAGGAATGAAAGTCAGAGGAGGAAGGGAAGGAGGGATGTGTCTAGAACACATCAAGGGGTTATCACCGCCCTTAGGGCTTCTCAGGAAGTCAGGGAAAGAACTCCAGGAATCCGATTGTCTGTGTAACTAGCATTTGATCCTTGGCTCCTAGACATACAGGAACATGATCTAGACGGGGATGCTTGTATTTCTTGCCTGTTAAGATGTGAGAGTCCCAAACTCTTATAGTGAAATGAAGTTATGTGGCCAAACCACTATGGATGTATTAGATGTGACCTCAGCTGGTGTTATGGCTTGAATATGTTCAATATGAGTTCCCCAAAAGCTCATGTGTGAGACAATGCAAGAAGGTTTACAGGAGAAATGATTGGGTTATGAGAGCCTTAACCCAATCAGTGGTTGAACAACCCCCCCTGATGGGATTAACTAAGCCATTAAAACCTGTAGGTGAGTAGGCTGTGGCTAGAGGAGGTGGCTCCTCCGTGGGGGTGTACCTTTGGGGTATATATTTTGTACCTGGCAAGTGGAGTCTCTCTCTGCTCCCTGATCATCACATGAGCCACTTCCCTCTGTCACACTCTTCCACCATGATGTTCTGCTTCACCTTGAGTCCTGAGGAATGGAGTCAGCTGCCTATGAACTGAGACCTCTAAAACTGTGAGCCCCCAAATAAACTTTTCCTCCCCTAAAATTGATCTTGTCAGGTCTTTAAGTCACAGCAGTGTAAAAGCTAACTAAAATAGCTGGAGTGTTGATGGAAGAGGAAGTGGGAACATAATAACATCAGGAAAGGAGAAACTCACCTCCTCCTGTCCTTAGATAACGGTGACTCTAAAAGGGTAAACAGTGGTGTCCTAGGCCTGAATGAGAATGTGTGAGGAACAGATGTCATTAACCCCAACCCCAAATTTCATCATACGAAGGTTACATATATTATTTGCATTTGAGTGCTTTATTATATTGGAATTGCAGTGATATTAACATTTGTACAAATGCACAAAATCTTGTCTCTTCTTGCTAGAAAGAGATGTAAAAATCTGACCTAGTCCAACAGTCTTAATGAACTCATTGTCCATTGGTAACAATAAATGTGTTCAGGATGCAACAAAAAGCTTAACATAAAATTAAACATATTAAATGCTGCAGCAAATATTTACACGTATGTACCCCCAAGTTTTTTCTCCTTCCAATAGGAAGGTGGTTGCTTTATAGATAGACAGACAAACACAAATGCTTTGCTGTTTACAACGACAAACAACCCCAAGTCCAGAACTTAAAGTGACAGCACCTTTTTTTTTTTTTTTTTTTTGTGTGTGTGGGGGGGGACTTCCTCAGTCAACACTTACTTTACACAGTGCTAAACTTTTTTTTTTCTTTAAATTATAATTTTGGACAATATTTCTATTTCCATTGTCCTAGAACATTGTGTTTGAACGGAGCCTTTTTTTTTTTTTTTTCTGGTCTTTTCAGAAGATCTCCAACCTCATGTCCTCACCAGGGAGGATATTTCAAGCTTATATTTTTTTCCAAAACAATGGTGGTAGGCAGCTTCCTCTCTCTGGGAGGTGGATGGGGTTAGCAGAGGTTAGAAGGAGAGGAGGTGAGCAGGTCTTCTTGTCTACTGGCTGTCTGGTTGGGAAGGGTCCTTTCTCATAAGCCCACTGTCCTTGGGCACTGCTGATACCTTCCAGTGTGTCCTGCCGTGTAGGAGCACTGGCGTTCCAAAGGAGCCAACTAGAATCTAATAAGCTTGTTGTGCGGAAGATTTTAATGATGTATTTAAAGCTAATTTATTCAGGTCCCACATTTCTCAGTCCTGAGGCCAACTTAAATTATTTTTTTAAAAAATTCTATAAAGTTCTATCATATAAAGCTTAGTGTAAGAAAACCTTAAGTAGCTTAGGAAGAGCTTTCTAGATCCTGATGTCTAATGAGCTAGATATTGTAAGTTGGTTTAAATAGAGCAGTTGATAATTATTGATTCCTTTCTGATAATAAGCTTGGAAAGGTATCACAGTGCCACTTTCAGAATATTAATCTTTTAACAAATGCTGGCAATTTGGCTTTTCCCCCCCTCTACAGCTTGCACTTAAATAGGTTTTTCTTTTCTTCAAAAAATAGACAATTTATAAGGAAAAAAATATATAAACATTCTTTAAGTAATTTGGCTACAAGCATTACATCACCGAAAAACTCCACAAGAAATAGTAAAATATTTTGAATGGACATACACTTTTTTATTTTCACAACAATGACAAGATAGGTTTTTTTTTTTTTGTTTTGTTTTGTTTTTAAAATTTCTTTGTGTGTTTATTTTGGTATTGGATCTTACTTGTAAGTTTATTGCTCCGGAGTTTTCTTATTCTTTCTTAGACTATAATTGTGAAATAGAGGTGCTGTCTCTAATCATGTTAACAAGGCAACACTGAATTTTTTCGAGACCTAGGAATGAAATCGATAGGGCCATTGCTATGTCGGCAGCCCCAGAAACTATGGCTAGGACAACAGTCAAACGTGCACCATGATGCACAAAAGAATAAGTCTCCTGGCTCATTCAGGACACTTTGGTTTGGAGGACGAGATAGAAAATTCTTAAGTAGCTTAGCTGCTGCCTCTCACATCTGTTGCATAATATAACATTTTTTTTTTAAAAAAAAAAAACATGCTAAGAATAAAGGACAAAGACTATAAACCTATAGTGTACTGGCTCTTCTTGGCATTCTTGTAGCAGGCTTCACCTAGGCTGGTGTGAGAAACACGTCTTAGCTATGCTACTCACGAATGCTCACAAATGTACCTGGTGCAAATATTCTGTAAAGTATTTTAAATGACGCAGCTCAGAGCCTTAGAAGAAGGGTGGAGGAATCCTCAAGGGGGGGAGCAAAGGCAAGTTTAAAGATAGGGAAGAGGTTAGAAAGAGAACAAGAGAAATGGAAAGGAATCAAAAAAGCTAAAGTGCAATTTTAAAATATAAATTATTTTAAAAGCAGAAAAGAGATTCTAAATTGCTCCTGTTCGCATAGGCACGGTTTTATTCAAATGTAAATGGGTTGTTTCCTTTCCCTTCTCAGATACACTGCACAATGGGGCTTGAATGGCTTAAAGCTGCTGCATCTTGTTTGGGAAGGGGTGGGAAGCTCTAAGGAGGCTGAGCAGTGCAAGGCCTTCTGGGAGATGGGGAGAGAATCAGAGATGAAGCTGTTTTTGCACTTTTACAAGAAAGCTGTTCCAGTTATAGTTACTGATTCCCTTTAGCAAAACTCTGCTTCCTAAATTAAAGAGCTTACTTTAAAAAATGAAAAGAAGAAATAAATGTTAAAAAGAAATGGTTCAGAATGTAGATTTAAAAATAACTCACAGAGCAATACAAATCCTCGAAATATCTATGCACAGAGATCTAAGCAAACGTTTCCACCAAATGATGGTGAACAGCCATTTGAAACCCTGAAAAATGAAAAAAACACACAACTAGGGTAGTTCATTATGGACTAATACTTTAAAAACAAGTAGGTCCTACAGAAGAATACTGTTCAAATGGAATGTTTAAAAATAACATTTATTAATAAATATCTTATAAAATTCTAAATTAATAGATTCCTGTTCAAATTTTGCTTTGGTCCTTGAATTCCACTGTATACACACATACATACATATACACTTTCTTAGATGGTTTTAATTAATCAGAAAGAAGCACATTCTATTCTAACTGGATGGCTAGTTTTATAGCAGTTACTGATGCTTAAAAGACCAAAGGCTGGTCTTTTACTGTAGCTGGTTTAGGACTTTAATGACAAACTCAACTAATCTACTAAAATTTGCTTAACTAACAGGCAACAACTACCTGAATATTGTCCGTTGACACCTCTCTCTGGGAACAGGCACTGCACTTTATTTCATTGACTAGATGAGCTACCAAAGGGCATTTGCTCTAAGTCACCCTACTTTTTATAACATATGCCTTGGCGGCACATAAGCCTCTTGTCTCCCTCAGGGTGTGCTGAGACGGTGAGGTGACCTGCATGCACCACGAGGGGAGGGTATGAGTGCAAAGGGAAAACATCAGACTTGACACCTGGCTTTGAAATTAATACATTCATCCATGGCTGGGACTTCTACTGTCCCTGTCCCAGCCATCTTAGATGGAGAAATGTGTCAAGAACAAACAATTCAGATGCAGAAACCTCCACTTAGGTGGGGATTCATCATCAAGTAGAAATGCTTTCAGGTGTACTAAGTTGTTAGCCCCAGCACATTAGGCAGGGGAGGCACTGTAGAAGTTTCCAGTAAGCTGGCAATGGCTTCCAAGGCAGATCCAGCCTATGAAGAAAGCCACACACAAATGAGAGGCAGCGCTGCAGGGACCTTTCCTCCCCAGGATGGCGCTCTGAAGGCCATTTTCACTGACTGGTAAAAATGTCTACATGGCTGGAGAGAGAACTGGCTTAAAAAATGTTTTCATAGATTGGCAAGATTTGTGATCTGGTGAAGGCTCTGCCTTTAGGTGAAGTCCTGACTATTGGTATGCCAAATGCTGGATGTGACCAGTGAATCTTTCTGTTTGGGATCTCAAGCACTGGCAGCTAGCTGGCATTTCCCATTTACTGTATTTCCATACTGTGAATGAACATACCTAAAGGCCCTGCATCTAACAAGAAGGCAGTTTACTCTAATTATACGTTGAGGCGGGTTTGCTAACGTGTGTGGTTGGTTTGCCTACTTAGCATAAAAAACAGACATAATTGAGCTATAAATAATGCACATCAGTCAAACTGTCGAGTTGCTGAATTAAGCAAACTCAGGCAAGTTCTTAACTGCAAAGGCTTTCAGTTTAACAACTAAATATTTCAATCAAGAGAAGTAACTAAATCATAATTTTAGTGACAGGTCACTCCCTGGGCATTGATATTACTAATGGATTTTTTAAAAATCCATTTCATTAAGTGCTATGCATCAGAAAAGAAAAGAAAGTTTTTGTTTACTTAAAGCAAAACAAAATGAAAATTTTTAAAAAATACCCCCCAAACCCCAATCATTCCAGTTCCTTCTTTTCCTTTTTCATGTGTGCTGGGGGGAGGAGGACATATAGATAGTATTAGGAAGGAATTCTAAAAAAAAAAAATATTTTTGATTTCAAAACAGCAATACAAATGTTAACTTCTTTTTAAAACTAAATCTTAAACATTTCTTAAGAAGCCAGTCAGGTTAAACCATTGTTACTGTTGGAAAAAAAAAACATAACTATGAATGCAGTATTTAAAATACTTGAAAATGATATGTTTCTCTAAAATATAACAGAAAATCCTTTTCATTTGCATTATTTTTATGCTTTTCTTTTTTTCATTTTTTTTTCTTTTTTCTTTTTGTATTTGTTCTGATTCTTAGACCATATATCCAAGTCCTAAGTTGTACTGAACCCTCAAAACCATCTTTCAAAAGCACTGCATACATGGAAAGATTGTTGATAAATATTGATTTAAAAAGTAAGTTATTAGATAAAACTGGAACTAGTTATAAAAATCATGCTTCATGGTCCTCATATTTTCTCCTTTTTTTTTTCTTCTCCAAAATAGATTCTTAAACTATGGTGAGAGAAAAAAAAAGCCACATCCTTCCCTTTTCTGAATTCTTATAAAAGTGACACTTTTTGTAAAATACTGTTGGTTTTAAAACCCATACAGAAACACACACACACACACACACACACACACACACACACACACACACGGAGGTCAAGCATTCAAATGGAGATGAAACACCAGCACCTGCCTAGACTGCTAGAGAGAAACACTAGCCCCTATTATTTGTGAAATGCAATATTAAACATGAGCACAGTAGAATGGCTTGTTCCAAGGAGGCACGACTGTGGTTTGGGTCCTATCTGTTTTTTTTTTTTAAATTTTTTCTTTTTTTATTTTTATAATGGGCAAGTTCACGTAAGCTGTTGAACATATAAATCAGAATTATTCAGAAGGGTGGAGTGAGCAGCCTGTGCCACTTATATCCATGGGATTCCGTCAGCAGCCACAGAGTGCCGTGACTGTTCTGGGAGCTGAGAGCACCCCAGGGAAATACTGGGCTTGCTTTCTACAGGAGTGAGTCTGCTTTCATCCACCAGAACAGCAGAGCTAGTTCTATAGGCTTAAGAAAAAAAAATAATAATAATAAATCTTAGGCTATTAGCAGCTGATGATTGAACAATGTAATCTGTGTAGTGAATAGAGCCCTTCTGAATTATTATATAGTGCATGGATTTTCAACATTATAGACAGGTTGTATAAAACCAGTTGTAATTCTAGGGTGTGATGTTATAGCCCCGCAACATAATTTGGACTTTCACAATTGGGGCTTACAAATCTCCCTCTCCTACTGTCTCCACAGCTGGCATTCAACAGTGCTTCACCTATAACTAAACCACCTTTATTTGCTCTGATTATTAAAAACCTTAAATCAGGCACATTAAACATCTCCTGGTTATTATTTTGTAAAAAGTGAGAATTGAATGAACTCCAGCTGTGGGTTACAGGCAAATGAAGCAATGGCTAAGTCCATATTTTTGAGGTTTGCTTTTTCTTTTCTTTAAACATTAATTTTTTTCTTCACATGTAATGCTAAAGGGGAAAAACATAAAACAGAAGAAGGTTAAAATGAAGACAAGAGCCCAAGATAAAGTGTAAATAGAGAGGGAAATTGGGCATTTGAGCAAGTGGACCAAGAGAAGAGGAGAGGAGGGGAGGTGCTTGGTGGTTTTATTAGGACGTGGGTGGATCTTCTAATTTGTTTTCTGGTAAGACAGAAACAGTTGCAGAAAGGCTGTGTGTTTAATCTGGGATTCTGGTGATGTCACAGCGCAAGCTCAACATGAGTTATGACGTCATCAGATTTCCTACCCAGTTACCTTGATCAGTCTCACTTGACATCTAGGTATGCCTCATTTTGGCTAAAAGCTGTGTTTTAACAAGAGTCAATGTTTCAGACAAAGGGCTGGACTGATAAGAAGGAAACCATGGCTATATACAGAAGAGGTTCCGTTTATAAACAAGTAACTGGTACCAGAAAATTGGAGAAAAGCACCAAAGCGTTTCCCAAGCCGACAGATATTAATTGCATAACTCCCTTTTTTTTTCTTATATAACTAAGTATAAAAGACAACATTTCCATAGTAACTATAAAAATGAAAGCCAGTCTTTGAAGGGCTGAGGAGTCTTCCAGCTCTGAGTTAATTCTAAAAATGCCCTTAGGAGAAAGGGTGCATGGTATGCTACAGCTCTTCTTGGAGGCAAGGTCTGACCCGTGCATTTTAAAGGATTGGATTCAGGTCTGTTCGGTGAGTAGTGAGCTGACTGAGGGTGGAGCTTCCCACCACCTCACTGACTGACGAGGAAGTAGTGATGGTGTTATGCTGGATGACCTGCTGCTGTGAGCAAGCTGGGACAGGACTTGCGGGAGGACTACTCTCCGGACCTAGGAAAAAACACATATGCACACACCAATATAGCTTTTTCTTGTGTGGACTTGCAAACTCCTCAGAATAAAAACAGGACCAGACATTGACTTGACATGGAAGGGTTGCGCACATTTCCTTCTGGAAGTTGAATTCAAAATTTCATTTTAATCTGGGGTCACAGAGCTATACCTCCCGGATTTATCATTACAAGCCAAGCCATGCTTCCTGTTTTGGCAAAACGATTTCACGTGTTTGAGTCTTGATGTGTGAACTTCCCCATCTTGGATTCTCAGATAAACAGCCATGTATCAAATGTGGAAAAATTCTCACATGTGGAGGGAGAATCTGTGTTGCTCAATCTAAAAAATTATTTGAAAATAAATTGACCTTCAGCCACAGACCACTGGTCCTTCCCCCAACCCCTATTCAATTAGCATTTAACCTACTGACTTCTGGGTGTAGAAACTGGGATCAAGATCAGTTTATCTAATGGTAAACTGAAAATGGGTCACTAGCTTTTCAGCTCAGTGGGTCCCGTGCAGTGTTTGCCAAGGCACTGGAAGCAGTTCACCAAATGCCTTTTTCCCAGTTTACAGATTTCTCAAGTAGACAGGCCACTGGTGAATGGCTTCCAGCAGGCTATTTCCTTACCAGCTACAAAATAGGAATTTGATAGTATTTTGCAATATAGAATGCCAGGGAAAGATTAGCCCAAATCACCAGGAGGTGGTGTGTATGATGTTGGATGGGGTCAGTAAAGAGGGATCCTCCTAGCAGAATAGGCATTCAAGAATTCCAGTATATATATGCCTGGGAGTACCACTACCCTTTCCTTTGCTCTTTCGGTAAAATTCAATACAAAATTTGTGGCAAAACACTGGATATCAAAAAAAGCAAGAGTCTGGGACTTACTTAAATATCCTTGTGATTCTTTCTGCATGGCTGTTATTGGGCAGTCTTTATGTGTTAACAATAACTGTTTCAGCTGGGCCACCTCATTTTTCAGCATAGATACTTCATTCTGGAAAGAGACAGATTATAGTCATGTTGAGAACACCACAGAGTATAACCCAAAGCCCTATGCCATCTCAACAATGAAACTAGCAACCTTTTCTATTATGTCTGAATGACAATAAGACCATTTTATTTAAAAGGGGTCCATCTGAAGGTTTGAAGCTTGCCTTCAATTTACTAAGGACTTAGTTAGACTTTAAATCAAGAGCTGAACTCTAGTCAAAGGCCAGACATGGAAGGGTTGCACACATTTTAGGTGTGCTCCCGAGCCAGGTGATGCAGGTGAGAAACTCCACTGAACACTTTCTGTCTGATTCTAGAAAGATAACAACCCAGCCTAGCTCTGCCTTTGTAAGACAGAGATAGAAACACCACAATATCATATGAGTTATTGTGAGGGTTAAGGAAGGTGGCAGATGTAAAACACTTGGAACAATGCATAGTGCATGTTAAATATTCAATAAATTTCGTCATTATAACCTTCACAATTTCAGGGTTACATTCCATACAAGGACAAGGAGAAGCACATACAAGAAGTTCCATTGAGTTGTGACTGAGCAACCCAGCTTGTGGCCCACTTTGAAGGGAGCATTGAAGCCCGTGGTACAGTGTTGGCTATCTACTATCAGGAAAATGTCAGCCCAGGGAGACAAGAAGTAAAAACATTTGGGGCTGTGACTGGATTAATTTGATCAGTCTGTTAACTATTTTGGCTAATTTCAGTCTATAAATTCCTTTCTTCCACAATATCAAGATTGTAAGAGTTTTTATTTACTCAGATAAGTGCCTTAAATTTTTACTTTTATGTAGTAATCCACAAAGACTTGTTCATAGCTTTGTAGAACAGTGTACTGGGCACCCATTGTCTACAAATATGAATGTGGAATAGATGGTTGGCTGGAAGGTGCTTCCTCTTGATAAAAGTAAACTATAAACATCACACTATATAAAATAAGCTGTTTTAAAATTGTGATAAATAATACCCTCTCTCTGGCCAAGGCTGATTTGTGGCTGGCAGGCATTATATTTCACATGTAGGAAAATTTTAAAAAGCATGCACAGAAAAGGGTATTGAATGTTGCTGTCATTAAGTTGTATCTACACTTGCCATATGAACTTGGCTTTGCAGGCGTGTATTTTTCACATAGAGAAGTCAGGATGGGATTCTAAATGTTACTTAAAAATATCTAAAACTTGTTTCAAATAACATTTCCCATTTCCAAAGTCATTTAAAACACTGAGTACAACATTATAAGTAACTGCACACTGAGTAACATTAATAACAAGGTAATAAAAATCTCATCTACAAAAGCATTTCCCTTTCTCCTCTGAACTACAAAATAAAAATGCCTGTTTGAGAAATTAACCTTAATGATGAATAAGTCACTTAATTGCACAGGAAAATTGCTCTTAAACCTGAGAACATTCATGAAGGTAAACAGTACGTCCCACTTCCCAATGAGTAGATTGATAAGGGGTCCTGTCACAACCCAAACTGACCCTTGTCAACCCCTTTATTTATAGGATAATTTATGATAGCCTTAAACGCTAACTCTTTTCTCTCCAAAATCATGCCTAAATCCTTTTTTTTCCCAGTTCTCCTTCTGCATAAAATAACACGATCAAAGAAAGTCATTGTTAGACCATTATATAAAAGAAATCTCTGGTTAGAAACAAAACAAAACAAAACAAAAAACAAATAACCCACAAAACAGACAAGGAAACTCAGATTGTGTGTGTGTGTGTGGTGTGTGTGTGTGTGTGTGTGTGTGTATGCTTCAGGATGAAATGTCATATTATTTGCATTTTGACCACAAGAATAACATTTTTCTGAAATCACCATTCCTGGACATCTGCCCTCTGAGTAGAGGTTCTCAGCTTCAGATAATATAGGCAATTGTTTGAAAATGGAATTGAGTTTCAAATTTAGTGCATTCACACTTTTCTACTGTGATTTAGAAAACGATAAACAAGCCAATATGAAACCCAAACTGAGTTTTCTCGCTTTCTTGAACTTCAGGAAGAAAAACTAATCCTGCTTGGTGACCATCTTGCAGCAGGAGAGTTTAGGCTCCTTTTCTTCTGCCACCCTATTCTGGGCAGTTAGACCCTTTGAAGGTAGCACTTGCTCTCCAGGCATGAAGAGTTCATTGCTTCTTTAAATAAAACAATATGAATCCCTTTCTCTGGGTTTCTACACACACCAAACCATTTCACAATGAACCTTTAGCTTGTATAAAACTGTTTTACTATAGAACGGCAGCAAATTACAATTCTGAACATTATATATATACTCCTGGTCTGTTTCCTCTGAATAGCAAAACACTTTACCAACAAACCAATATGTTCTAAGTATAGAAACCAAGGCCCTGAGAATTTCAAAGGTCTATAAAAATGTAAAAATACAGAGAGTGTTGTAAAAACTGACCATCACTTAAAGATATAGAGTATGGACATATTTCTAATGTAACGTGCTAGTCATTGTAGTCATGTTATGATTGAAAAATAAATAACTAATATCTTCAGTAAAGAAGAAGAGTCAGCCTCTTGTTCAGATCATATACACACATAACTATGATACTGTAAATATTAAGTAAAGACCTAAAAGGCACAGAAATTTATGGTGCAGATCTATCAGAGAAAGGAACACTCAGCTGGTGGGTGGGCATAAAGGGTTAGTCCCAGGGTTCAATCCCCACTACTGAGAGAGAGACGGGGAGACAGAATGTATAATGGCTGTTGAGGCCTAAATGGCTACATCAACCAGGTACAAAACAAGACAATTGTACAAGTTCTCTAAGTTCCTCCCAGAAAGAGAGTTTCTTATTCCATGAGTGTTTTTGTGTTGCCTTCTATTGAAAAACTGATTCTGTAATGAAGAACCCAATCTTTACTTGTATTCATTAATTCACTACCATTAATATTCTCAAATATATTTATTAATCTTTCAGGTCTTGGGTTTCATAAGGAATCCAGCTTCAGCATCTCATGTGCTCCCTGCCTTCATCAGGGCAGATTCTAAAGCAATATATATATATAGTTTCATTTTACAGCAAAGTTTTGTATGTCCATACGTGTGTCCACGTTGTGAGAGACCATGGCACCTTCAGCAGTTTCCAGAAGGGCACTTTGGCTAATTAAGGAAGGTCAAGAATCACTGTCCTAGAAAAGGAGAATGGGTTGTGTACTCTGTACATGCAGAATTATTTTAAAGATTCCATATTGAAAGACGGATTGATGTAGGAAATGCAGAATTACTAGACTATATTTTAAGAAAAATCCTTTCAAGGCAACATAAGTAGAATCACCTTGAATTCATTTTGGAAGGGAAAAACCAGATAGCAAATGTTTCAAAGTGCATGAAAGAAATCAAATGTGGCCTCCAAGTCCAATAGGGAAATAAAAGCCAGGACTTCTGGAGGCATTTTCTTACTCTGAATGACCTTACTTTATGAATCAAGGAAAATCGCCAGTTGTAAAATTCCCCTCTATAGGTTATAGTAAGAGTTCTAGGTCTCAGTAGAAACATACTTTGCAAAAGCAAAGTATAAATAATAAGTATTGATTCTTTTGTGGTAATCAATCTTCATTTTTTAAAAAAATTTTTATAAACTAATTTGAGTTTGCTACTCTAAAGCAGTAAGCCATTTAAATAGAGACTATAGGAGGAAAAATCCAGTTGGACTGATCTATTTTTAAATCCATAAGTTTTTCAATACTATGATAACATTCTTTAAACAAGTAATCCAAGGAGTCCCTAAAAGCTACAGTTACAGTTTCTTTGTTTGGGGAATGTCATTTTGATATGTGATAAATCCAGAATGTTTTTTTTTGGTGTGAGCAGTAGTTCATGCCAAAAAAATAATTATCAAAATGGGCCCTACGATGTACCCACCGCCCCCTCTTGTTTTTAGATTAGTGGAGACCAGGTTTGGTTCACTCTGCAACAAAGGGCTTTCAATTTGTCAAGCAACAGTTCCCATCTGGCCTATTCTCTTGCCAAGTCCCAGACCTGGGCTTGTGTGTCTAAAATTTCAGCGGCAACTTAGACCATGTGTCTTTGCACTAAAAAGGAAAAGCAATTACTTCCATGCACCCATGGAAGTGCAGATGATTTCCATATCCTCTACTGAACTCAAATGGTCTACTGAGCACCACATCAGTGGTGATTTTTAGCCACTCTGTATCACAAAGAAGGATGTGAATTCCTTTAATTTAAGATCTTTTTAGAATGAAAGATCGAAAAGCAGCGGGTTAAGTTCACAGAAATCTTGCTGGACTCCTTCTGCTCCTTACTGGTTGGGTGATAGCTGGGAATTCTCCTTATCTCTCTGAAACTCAGTTTCTCCCTATATAAAATGTCAGTTTGGGTGGTTTCTAATTTTCCCTTAATTCCTTACACCTGTGCTGACCTCTTGGTCAGATTTGTTGTGCGACTAGGAAATGAAGTCTGGGGTTTTGATTTTTGTTTTCTTAGGTCTGGTTTTTCCAATCTGAAATGCTGCAGCCTAACTAGAAGGTTCTATGCTGGAAAACAACTCCACCGTGGCAGCTGGCCATCCAGACCTTGGGTATTCCGTTTGGCTGGTGTTTGTTTGCTTAGCACCTTTCATTTCTGTTTACTTAAAATTTGGCTTACTGAACCAGCCTCAAGAGAGACACCTTTTTTGTGTTGACAAAGGTCCAGTGAGAGGGAAAGGGTCACTCAAAGGTAGCAGAATCTCTGCAGCGTCCTCTCCAGCATCACAGGGCAAGATGCAGAAGCCGCAACGTCACAGAAAACACTGGACGCTTGTGGCTTCTGTCCTTCTGAAGCAGAGCAGTGGTTGGAAAATATCAACAACTCAGTCTTTTAAGAGGTTTTTCCTTCTTTGCACTCTGCATTAATAACCAAAGGATATTAGTTTCTGTTACATGAACTCAATAGATTTTTCCCTCCTGGTTTTCAGGAGCTAGATTTCTTAAAATCTCTTTTTTCCCTAGCCATTTTGCTCTAAAGAAATTACAAAAAAGAAATCAGTGGTCTAGTAAAGGGTAAGTTTACCTTGAGTATTTTGTGAAAGCAGTCATAAATATGTATATGTTAAGTCATGAACTCATCTGACCTCAAACTCAACTAGCATCATTGCTTTCCTGGCTCTCTGCTAGGACCTGGAGGAACTCAGTAAGGATTCATTTTACTTACCACTGACTTAAAGACTGCTTGTATCTGATAAGTGCCAGCTGGAAAGCCAGTGGTTTTTAACCAAGGCTGATTTTGCACCACTACCATGATCCCAGTTCTAACCACAGGGCATTTGGCAAGGTCTGGAGACTTTTTGGTTATCACTTTTGGGAGGGGGGGATATGCTCCTTTGCTCCTGACACCTAGTGGGCAAAGGCCAAAGATGCTGCTCAGTAGCCTACAATACATAGATCACAACAAAGGAAGATGGGGCCTAAAAGCCAACAGTGCCAAGATTAAGAAAACTTGCATGTTTTCACCATCCATCCGCAGCCCTAAGGACTGGGAGCAAATTCCTGGATCCCCCCTTTAGTCATTGCAGAACCACTGTGCAATATTTTTTAGTTCTACACAGACCAGAGCTTTTACTAACATGTATGTGCAAATCAAATCATTTAAAAATGATTTAGTCTTATCCTTACCAATAATATCTGTGAAATTTCAGGTTTCAGGTTCTAATTACATTTTTTCAATAAATATCAAGATTTATATTGTGACTATTAATATTAAAACCCTATCTGTGTTCTACCTCAAAGCTTCTTAAAGATTACTGTGCCTGCCAGATTCTAGGAGTGGCTTTAAAGGTACTTAGGTCCAGCCATTCCTCAGTGGATTGACACCCTGAAATCACATCCATGCCAAGGGTGGCCAATTCATGGCCACTCCAGAGATGGAGAATTCATCCATTGGTTCAATAAACACTTCTTAAGTGTAGACACTCTACTAGACACAGGGGAAAGAAGTGGGGCAGGGGTAAAAAGACATAGTCCCAACCTTTATGTAGCATACAAACTGGGGTGTGGGGCAATTGGTGTGTTATTTTCTTCCCCATATCTTTTCATGTTTCCCAGTTTCTTGCTTATGTCCATCTCAAAAAGAATAATACATTTGGGAGAGGAGGAGTCAACATCTATAAGTTATGAAATTTCATCCATGTATAACCAAAACTTTCCTCATCTACTTTCCCTTTGTACACTGAATGCCCTAAGGGTATTTCCATTCAGTGAAATTGAAACTGCAAAGGCTTCTGGGCCACCGTGGTGGTGCACACCTGTAATCCCAGTGGCTCTGGAAGCTGAGGCAGGAGGATCCTGAGTTCAGAGCCAGCCTCAGCAACGTAGTGAGGCCCTAAGCAACTCAGTGAGATGCTGTTTCAAATATTTTAAAAAGGGCTGGGGATGTGGCTCAGTAGTTAAGCTGCCCTGGGTTCAATCCCCAGAACCAAAAAAGAAAAGCCAAAGCTTTGGGGATTTGGCACATGAACTGCTTCTTCCTAAGGATGTACAAAGGACCAGAAGTTGGGGGTGGGGCGGAAATGAAGGTGATCTATGAACTATTAAGGTGCTATTGGCCATCCTCTCAGTTCCTGGAGGTTATAATCTCAACTCTGACTGCTATCTCTATTTGTCACATGTCAATTGATTTTGTGGGTGAGCATGTTCTTCTTTTTATGTCAGAACAAAGGCTCTGAAGTGCACTATGCTCTGGGTACTAGAGTTTCCTCGGGTACTAGAGTTTCCTCGGCTTCTTTCCAAACACTCCAGAAATGGCCTTATTATAAAATGTCCCCAGTTAAGCCATTCATGAAAAGCAAAATTCATGCATGTTTCAAATCTTACTGAGTTTGAAAACAAGATGGAAATTTGCCTTTTCTTTCAGAGCCAAATAACAACCATAAACCTTCCTTTCTTCCACTCAACAAAAAATATAGGTCATAGGGCATAAGCCAAAGGGATCCTCTCAACCTGCCAAAGTTGAACAGCTACCTTTCAGTTCAAGACTTATTCTGGGCCAGGTACTGTGTCAACTGCTCCATAGACATTAGTTCATTTATTTCTTCTAAACACTCTCTAAAGGTACCATTCCCATTTCATACATGAGGAAACTGAGTCAGGGAGGTTAAACTCAGCAAGCACTGCTGAGCCAGGGTTTGAACCACTGTCTGATCAAAGCCTGAGCTCTCAGCCCTACGAATTAGCTGGGTGGGTCCTCCCTTTTCAGAGCTTTGTAGGTGGAGTGACTGAAAACTGAATGGACTATTTTGTTTGTCTCAGAATTAATAAAGCTGGATGAGTAGGCTTGAGCCTCCTCTGAGGGCGAAGTGTGTGGTAGGACTCTGTAAGTCAACAGGAGCCTGGGAGGCAGGAAATACCAACTGTGCACAGGGCCTTGGAGAACTGGGGAAAGAGACAGTGGCCTTGCACCTGAAGCTGCATGTTTGTCTGGGTGAGTTCTTCTGCTTTCTTTTCCAGTGACATCACCCAGACCTTCCTCTTCTGTCTGCAGCGGGTGGCAGCGGCCCTGTTCCGTTCCAGAAATTTCCGCCGCCTTTCGTCGGGATCTTCATCCACCACCCTTCGCCGGCGTCCCCCTGTGGGCTGGGGTGGCTGTATGGTCTGGGTTGGCTGCATCTGTTGCGAGGCTGGTGAAACCTGTGGGCACAGAGAGGGAGGAGGCCATGGTAACCAGGAGGGACAAGGGAAGAAACCCGAGCTTACTTTATAATGCAGAGCACAGGAAGCCAGTTGCTTTAGTAAGCACATTGAACTTGTTTTCTATGAATGAAATAAACAATGAAATCACACTCACCAAAGAAAAGAAAAAGCATCACTGAGCTTTAATCTGATGTTTTACCCAGAGACAGGAATGACTTAGGAAAAGATGTTGTTGGGTAGATTTTTCCCTGACAGGCATTTGGCCAAATCATGATAGATGAAACATTTTTTTTTTTCCTCCTTCAGGTGTAAGAAATGTTTTTATTTAAGGTACTTTCCAAAGAACTTTCAAGTAGCCAATGGATGGCTATACGGTGAAAACAGAGGGGTCCAGGTTGCCACATCACTGACGACTGTTATCTGCAGAAAACCTCTGGCAGGTTCTTTTCATTCAAGGGGTGTTACAACCGCCTCCCTAGACAAATTCTGGGACTTTGTCACCACTGTGACTCTTATGGAAAGAACCCCGTGAAGCAGGAAGATGGCTGGAATTCTAGTTTCACTATTTCACAGTTCTTCATGCCCAGGACTAGCTGGACCTGCAGGCTCTAGATGGGTCTGCTGATCCTCAGAGTTCTGAGCAAGGTGGAGGAGAAGTCTGAGAGCTTCCCAGGTGATTGGGAGGCCTGACCTTTGATGCTGAGGCTGCCTTGATTCCGCTGCATGTGTAGGACACAGAGGGACAGCGGACATGACCACATACCTGCGTCATAAGGAAGTCCTGGGAGTGGCAGAACACTTTATTAAAAAGTTTTACTATGCTTATAGACTTCTTGTAAGGTCTGCATGGGACTCAGTGACATCTAAGGCTTTGGAGACCCCCACCCATGTAGTTTTATTTCTCTCCATAAGGCAGACGTGCAGCACCTTATGAAATTTCTACAGCTGATTCTTTATATGTCTGGACACTTAATGCTTTCCCTAATTCACTTTGCTCCTTCCTCCTTCTTCATTCTCAATAAAGGGTGGTTTCCCCCCACCTCTCCTATTTCTCAGTCACTTAGGTTTATGGCTGTAATACCTATAAAGTTGTTTCACAAGAGACATTTAACCTGCAGAAATAACAGGCAAAAGAGTTTTAAAAATGAAGCCAAACAACCTTTTCGACCACATTCCAACCCTCTGATTGAAATCAATCAGGATGACTGTAATTGTACTAATGATGGCTACGGGTTGACATCAGCTGACTGATGGTGATAGATTTCAGTCCTAACCTCTATCAAACCTTCTATGACTAACTATAAAAGAATCAGGCTCAGGAGTGAGGTCGGACTGCATCTCAGTAATTTTATCTAAAGCAAAGACATTTTCTAAAATTCTTTATTGGCGATGCCTTTCCTCCTGATCACAGAGGAATAGCAAAATAAATTGTCTAAGGTCTTACTCATCAGAGTTGCTGATGATGACATAATCCTTGTTATTGGCAAAGATGTAGCACTGGTCATTTCAGAGGCTAACTCCTGAGCTCACTCCTGACACGCCAAGCAGTAGGAGGGAAAGTGCTCTGTGATGGTTTTTGCCTTTACTGTTTCTTTTGTGAATAATTAGCCATCTCTTATTGCCAGTCTCAGGCAAGACTAGGCAAAACTGATTTTTTCCATCTCTATTGCAGGGACCTCTCTTTCAAAACCAGGTCCTCCCCTATTTCAATCAACCTGCAACTGGTTATGCTTTTCCTGTGCCTTTGCCCAAATGTGGTAAGCCAGATGGGGTGGTTTTGGGTGTAGTGCAGGTTCTGGGTTTAAGGGAGGTGGGAAGTTGGTTAAGAGAAATTTCTAGTGTCCGTGAAGTGACACCTGGACCTACAATATGATTATTTTTGCATGATAATCATAAGAAACAGGAAAAATTGCGAATGCAACCCTACAATCAGAAATTGTGTTCCTGGTAATTATCATTTTATGTTAAAGTGGAATTTTCTTGGCAATGATATTCTGCCAGTTTGGATCAAACAATGAATTGTGATTTTTGAAAAAGCAGGATTTATTCTAAGACATCTCATAGTCTCAGAGTTAGAAGGACTTTTATAAATGTCTATCCCTGCTATACAGATAATTATACTATTAAGCAATATGACAAGATCTCTGTGATCAGCCAAGTTGATAAAATTTGAAGACTGGTATTGTAGAATACAGTCTAAATTATCATTCAAATTTTAGCAAGACCAAACCAGGATTCTTTTTTCTTTTTTTTTTTTAAGTATGGGATAAAAAAGAAACTGTTGGTACAGCTAATTATAATAGCAATTAACTAATTGCATATCCAATTGGCCACTTAATGACTTGAAACAGAGGGCAATTGGCTAATTGGTACTTAGCTAATGAATGACTTTTATATGTAAGGAGCTATTAAACTTGCTGGTGAATAACTTTCTCAAGAAGGCAACCAAACCTTGATGTTTTTCTTTTCCTTAAAAATTCAGTACATAATGAGACTCGATTTGTCTAGCTTTGATCTGAGAGTTTCCTTTCTCTCTTTTAAATTCATGTCCCAGTGCAACATTTTACTAAAAATGTGACTAAAAAGGTGGTCCAGGTAGTATTTTATTGCTCAACTTCTTCTAAATTGTTTTGGTTTGGAATTTATCATTGCTAACACATTTTGAAAACTTCTACAGAGATTTAATACTCACAAGAGCCTATGAATGTAGTCTATGATTACCCCACTTTGTAAAAAGCAAGATTTAGGGAGGTTCATTGTTCTTTGTCCACAGTCACACAACAAGTAAATTAGAAAGAGAACTGTTCTGCCACTCTAAAGCTCTTGTCTTTAGAGAAGGAAGATGGAGGAGACAGTGAATAAGCGCTACTGGCGGTCCCAAGCGTCCGACAGGGTTCTGACACAGCTGGTTGGGACCTGGCAGTGTAGGATGGGTGGAGGGGACTGATGAAGCTCATCCTACTGGAGGATCCAAAGTGTCTGGGGCCAGCCATGTTCTTGGATGTGCCCTCCATCTGCTTACTAAAACCCCCTCCCATATAGGGACTTGCCTCTCTCCTTGGTCTGGGTGACATAACGTCTGCCTGGTCCCCCAACTCTCTTTCAGTTTAGTCTAAATGCTGGCTTTCTTTTTAGCCACTCCTGGTGACTCTCCACCCTTGGGATTTGGCCTTTCTCTTGGTCTGATCATCTATGAGCTTGGCTCGCTCGCTCTCTGCTTCCTCCAACGCATTTCACATTTGGTGGGATGAGTCACCTCTCTTCAGCATTTACACAGTACCTTATGCCCTAGCATCCATTACGGAGCTTATTTGTCTGCATGAATTGTTACTCTTTAGATTTTAACATTTACTGCCACTCAGGAATATTGCCCTTTGTATTTAACTTCCATTTCACAGGTGATAAATTTGAGTCCCTAGGATGTTTTAAACTATAACAGATAGACCAGGGTTAGCATTAACTTCATTTTTCTCATTTTTTTTTTACTCATCTTTCATCATTAGTTTAAATTCCTCTTAATCCTCCCATTATCTTACTGTTTTTAGGAGCAGCTTTGAAATATGCTGCAAAATACATTTTGGAGAACTTCAAATTTATGGTCCTCCCTCCCAACAAAATGGGCTTGAAATTTACTATAATATTTAGAGAAATTATGATCTGATAGTGTCTTATGGGTAATTGTTGTCTCAGGAAATGAACACAGCTTCCCAGAAGATCCTATGGAACACCCAGGCCTGTCAAGCAAGGCTGCTTCAAGGTCCCCCCCCCCACTCCCACCCCGTGCACACATGGTTAGAGCTTGCACCCTTATCAAGAAGAGCTAGAAGAGGAAACTGGTCATGGAGAGGGTCTACCTGTGCTTGGCTGCCGGTGTGCAGGGGCGGGTGCGGCGAGGTCTGGTGATGTGCTGGGTGTGCATGAAGGTGGGAGTGCGAGTGGTGGTGTGGGTGGTTCTGCTGGTGATGGGGCTGAGGGTGAGCGTGGTGTGCTGGGTGTTGGTGCTGGTGCGGGTAGGGGTGGTGGGCTGGCAGCGTCTGGTGCTGATGCGGGTGTGAGTGCATGTGGTGGTGTGGTGTCTGGTCCTGCCGGGAGCCCATCATTTCCATCATGTGTCCCATGGTGTTCATATTCCCGTTGGACATGGCAGCAGGGTGGTGAGTCAATGCAGCCTTCAGCCTCTGCAACAGAACAAACAGAGAAAGGACAACTGAGGTCACTCGTGGACACAATGGGAATTTTGAAGCAAATTGACTCATGGGTTCAGTTTGATAATATTTCAAAGTATTATTGTCTACATTGCTACTCGTAGCAGGATAGCTTCGGTATTAACACATACTCACATATTGTGGGAGGTAGGAGGAGTAATGTAAGCCATAGCTGTTAAAGATTCAGGTATTCCACTAAAAGTTATTTTCTACTCTGTAATCATTCACTATATTCTATTGATAGTCAAATGCAAGTGCAAACCAAACAGTACCATTCAATATGATAATGCCACTGAACAGGGGGCTCCCATCTGATAAGTTGCTACATTTTGTAAGAATCAGAAGAATTAAAGATTCTACCTCTCAAAAGATTTCTCAGATGCATGGAAGAAATGTTTCAAATTTTCAAATGCAGGAAGACTGCGGTTGTTAGAGTTCAAGTTAGCAGTAGTGATCCATAAGCTTTGGAGGCAGTATGCAAGTCCTCTTCAGTTGTTACCAAGTCCTCTCATGGTCCCTTCTGATAATCTAACTTTTCTCACATGGTTACTCTCTTCCAACTATTTTTTTTTTTGGGTGGAGGGGTGAGTACCAGGGATCGAACTCATGGGCACTGGACCACTGAGCCACATCCCCAGCCCTATTTTGTATTTTATTTAGACACAGGGTCTCACTGATTTGCTTAGCACCTCAATTTTGCTGAGGCTGGTTTTGAACTCGTGATCCTGCTGCTTCAGCTTCTGGGATTGTAAGCATGTGCCACTGCACCTAGCTACTTTCTTCCAACTTTGACAAGGAAGTGATGAAAGTAGAATGATCTGGAGTATTGCATTGGTATATTTCTAGCACAAAAGCATTGCTCTTTAACTCTTTAACCAGCAAACAGCATTCAAAAAACTTCTACTTGAACTTAAAGCAAGAGTGAGCCAACTTTTTCTATAAAGAGCCATACAGTCCATCTTTTCAACATCATGGGCCTGACAGTCTTTGTACAACTCCTTGTGCAACCATAGGCATTATGTAAATGAATGAGCATGGTGTTTATTTTCCCAAACACCAATATTTAGGGACAATTGAATTTCACATAATTTTCACATCATAAAATCTCTACTTTTGTTTTTGCCTCCTTAATAATTTAAAATGTCAAAACCATTCTTATCTCTTAGTTGTACAAAATCAGATGGTCGGTCATAATTTGCTAAGTCCCTTCCAGAGAACCAGTTGGTTATCAATATATCCCAGCTTCTTAAAAATTGTTTTTCTTCTATGTAGGCAGTTATCATCCTCATCCCAAGGGGCACAATGAGCCAAGTACTGTGGAAGACAGTTACTCCTTGGAAATGTATCCTATCCAGAGATGAGAGTCTAACTGGCAAGTGCACGGTGGCTTCATCAAGTATTTACTAGGGGTTCAAGTTCTCTCCAGATTTGGACTCTTATCTGCCTGATGGCAGTGGTGTGTAATCAGTGAAAGAAGAGAGAGTTGCATTTAAATGATGATCAAAGTCACCTTATCCAGTTCTGTACAACATTCATGATTCTTAACCATCAAACTATTAGAAAATACTAATTCAATTAATCAAAATCTTTAGACATAAAAAAACACTCCATTAGGTTTTTTTTTTTTTTTTTTAAGGAGGGCAGGATCGCATACTCAGTGATGCAGATAGTTGCTGAAAACATTTCCTACAACCTGATCTACTAGCCACCCAATCCACCTGCCTCCTCTCATGAAAAGGTGTTCATGCGACGGCATGGTAATACCCACGTGCGTAAAGATGATCCTGAGGAAGCTTGCTTCCTGAATGCCTGGGAAAGACAGACACTGGCATTGTGTTGACCACTAAAAAGGAAAGTCAACTATGCTCCTCCTTTCAAGGTTTAGAAATGATTTCATTGTTTTTATAAAAATGCTCATTATAAAAAATTTAAGCAATGCTTTAGAGTGCAATGACATCAGCCCCACAGGAGCCAAATGTGTTGTTTATGCTGGTGGGTGAACAACATTCCAGACAATTCTATATGCATAGGTAGAGATGGACAAACAAGTAGGATCATTTTACAATAGGGGAATCATGATAAAATTTTAAAAACCCCTGACAACAGCAAGGCAAATGAATGCCGTTGAATTACTCTATATATTTCTTTAACCTGAGAAAGTTTCTGAATGATATTTCCCAATTTAAGGGTGAAAAAAAAAAGCATGAAAAAATTATGTCGAAACCATGATTTCTTTTTAAAATTTATTTAGTAGATAGTATTCTTGAACTTTCTAAGCTATGTTTTTATAATTTCATTACTATTAAAGTATATAATTGCATAGTAAAAGAAAGAAAATCAACTACTGCCTAGCCTTCTTCTCCTAAGCCCCCGTCTCATTCCTTACATGTAACTTTTGCATTTGTACTCTTCTGAAGTGGTATATTTCTAGCACAATACATGTACCTTCAGAAATTTGTTTGGCATTTAGAAGGATATGTTCATGCAAACCCCTTTTCTAATAGGTAGCTTTGTAATCTGCTTTTTGTCACTTTACCACTATATCTTTAACATCTTTTTATATCAGTGAAAAGAACTGACAGTAATAACTATCATTAATTTAGCACTCAATATGTGCTGGACCTTATTCCATGTATTATAAATATTAAATCCCTAAGCCCCTGCAAGGCTAAAAAGAGAGGGGAGAGGCAGGGCCATATTCCCGAACTCAGCCGCTGGGAAGAAGGGAGGTGCTCTACCTCAGAAGCCTTTCTCTGTACCAGAAAGAAGGTGTGGGAAGGGATGCTATTCGCCCTTTGCCAGAAACAGGAATAAATTGTGTTAAGCCACCTCTCCATCATCAAAAGGAAAGGCAGAAAAAGATGAGAAGGAGTTAGAAAAGGTGTCAAGATGAGAGGTCAT